TTTGGAACTTTAGTAACTGCAGGGTTTCCTGAAGTTTCACGAAAAGTCACCATAGTTACCGTGATACCAGCATCAATCGTGGCTTGCTATCTCTCGTAATCTGGAGGCAGATTATTTACGTAAAGAACTCCCCTGAGGAGTTTCGGAATGTCTACAGTCATGAAGAATATTAGGGCGACTTGTCAGAGTTTAAAAGGGGCTTGTGAAGAATGAGACTTTTCTTTGATTGAACAGAACCTGGCGTTTGACGTTTTAGTGATCTCCACGATTCGGTCGACAGATTTAGCCAGCTCGCCTACAACACTATTTTGAAATGAGACAAGCACCGTCTGCACGTGTTGGGGAAGCTTGAACATGAAAAGGTATCTAAAATGGCGCTCGATGACCTCTAATATTCGCAGTAAACTGTCTGTTAATGAGCTATGTTATGGAACGAAATTGCTGAAGAGTTGATCTAACCTTTGTCGGTTGGTTAGATTTCCACGTCCAAGAACAGCATTTCTTAAAGTTTCATAAAGTTCCAAAGTATCACTGGTAAACATACTAAGTGTGACGTATCTGCTGAAATTGTACAGTAGTGACCTTACTACTGTAAGGAATTTCGCACGTGGAAGTCAGCTTTTGTGTGGCAGAACCAGGCTTTGATGTTGTCGAATTAACTGAAGTGAGGGAGGCAGAAGAGTCTTTATCTTAGATAATCTAGGGGTCTGTATCTTCATTATGAGTATAAAATATACCAAAGAGCGAGGAAAAATATATGAACATATGAAAACAATATGCAAAGAATGACGTCTAAGAAATATTATATTGTGGTAGGCGTCAATTCGCGATTGACTATGATCACCACTACAGGAATATTACGTGCCAGTTATAAGATTGGATCCCTCCGTAGACCAAAAACCAAAAGGCAATTGACGGTTATAATAAGATATATTTGTTGGCAATCTAATGGTATCGAAATATATATATATTTCTGCATGCGCAGGTACACGCCATTTTTACAGGCATGATCTATAAATTACAACACTTGTTGGTTCACAAAATGCTTCGCAACTTAATAATACATATGGTATTAATAATAGTTGTTTCCATTTTATCAATCACGTTCTCTTCATAAAAGTAGGTCACTACAATATAATGATCCAACAAAAAACAGACCAACAGTTTACCGTCCAAAGCACTAAACCGCGTCGCATCTAACACTGAACGCGCTACAAGTGCTCAGAGTTTGACAACGTCTTAACTAAACTCTTTTAAAATGGAAATAAACCTACCCAGACAAATTAGAAATTAAGCGGTTTGAATATATATTTATATATATCCGTATGTCGAGGAGTGTTTTGCTAAAGCTGGTTACCTGTTGCAAATGATGCGTAGCACGATGTGCACACTCGTATTCTGGTACGAATGCGTGCAAGATCGCCTTTAGCTAGGTTTTGTTCAGTAAAACTGATGAACCCAACATCAAATGTTTAAGACTTACAGAGCGATTGACTTTGGGGATTTATTTACCGTGTGGTGGTTCCCAGCAAAAAAGCTGATACAAGATATATCGATACGCTAGATTAATAATAATATACCAAGAAAGTTAGCAGTAAAAACTCTAGGCGTCCGTCTGTGAGTAAAAACCAAGGGTAACAAAATATAGTTAAGATACAAATGGTAAGCTGCCTCGTGAGAATAACAACCACAAATAAGTTCACTTGATTGACGAAGGCTCCTCTCCAAGTGAGTGCACCAGCGGCGTTGAATATGGCACAGGTATTCAGTGTTTGACAACGCTTTTACCAGTAACATCTTTTAATATAATTCGTACCCATCAAGAGAAATTAAAAGACAGAGTCGAAGAGATCGAAAGAGTGTATTTGGCGATAACCAATATATCGGAATTCTCTTATCTAATCTGACTAGCGATTGCAGTAGCAGTTGAGCATGGCGTTCCCACATGTGATCTGGTGCAGATGTATGACCAAGCGCCTTCAGGAGTTGAGTCCACTGAAACATGTGGTCAGCATCCAACGTCGAAAACTTACAGTGCTATTTATTTTGGGGATTTGTTTACCGCTACAGCGCATTGAGAAAAACAGAGTCCAATAGTATTATAATATCATAATCCGTGCTAAAAGTCCAACGTAGTGTCGAAAGGCTTAAAAGGATGTTATAACACTATTGCAGTCTTCAATCAAAACCGTGGCCAATAAAGCAGAAGAACAAACGGTGTAGATAGCGTTTTATATTTTCAAACCACGCGGTAGTAAAGTCGTAAATTAGTCATCGAAACGATTATCATCGTTTTTTAACAAGTGATACAGAAAAACAGATATTGAATAAAAATGTGGTTACATATAAAGTGTGACAAATTAGAGAGAAAATACGGTTATTATTTTGTCTTTACAAAAAATCACTGAATATATGTCACCATAACCGCAACTAAAGCGAATTTTTCTTCTTTGGATGAAATAGGGAAGGAAAGTAGGGGAAGACAGTATTGCACAAGCGACACAGTACGATAGAAACGAAATTTGATTTTAAATTACTGATTGATTATTTGGACCATTAACTTATTGCGCAGTTGCAGTCATTTGAAATATAATTATGCCGAGAATTTACACGCATCTTAGTAATCAGTTTACTCCGGATGCGATTTCGGCCAATAAATCTAGTCGCTCATCACACGCACTACGATGTTAGGCTAACTTACAAATGGGTCTCAAACCTGAAGTACTTCGAAAATGGAATGACTGTCTTTCAAGGTCGTTGTGCGAAAGAGAGGCAACTTCGGTTTCCACTTATAATCATGAGTCTTTCGGAAGATGAATCTACTTCAGATGAAGAATATATCCCTCCAGGTAGATATAACTCTAGGACTATATTTTTCAATATTTAGTTAAAGCTTCTAAATTGGAAGAAGACTCAGAAAGCGAATATAGCGATGAGTCAGAATCAGGAGATTCAGACTGTATTAGTGGTAAAATCATTCCCTCCCTAGATCTGTCCTTAGATAGTTTAACCAGTCAGTCAAGTAAAAAACGTCCTGCTAAAAGGTATGAGTACAACTTAATGATGATTTAACCATTAGCTGATTATTTAGGAACTCGAGAAAATCCAAGGTTTGCTTATTAGTGTCAGTAATGGCCAAGTTTTAGATTACCGACTGTTCACCGCTTTCCACTACCGAGGATGTGAAAGCCTACGAAGATAAGGTGTGGGACGAGTTTCTTAAGTCCGATAGTACCAAGGAATCTGTAAGCACAGTTTTCCACGAATAACACATTAAAGAATAGCACTGAAAAAGTAAATGTTGTAAAAAAGTATCAGTTTGCTGGGGAGGAAGTTGAGTAAGTTCATGAGAATATCTCATATATAGTATATCACTTTTTCAATGTTTTCCCGTATGTACGTTTATTGACGGGTGACTTTAATAATGTGCATTCCATCATGTTAACAGAGTCGTGTCTAAATTTTGAAGTTACCTTTAAAGCGTAGCGTATTATAGGCCTGTGAAGCAGTGGCCTATTAAGTATTAGAAGCTAAGTTTTTTAGTTCCTTTCCCCATTACTCATTAAAATGAACTTTACGACGAATGCTATATAGTATATGCTGTTTATTAGTAAGTTGTCTAAACATTTTCCAAAAACATGGACATACGAAGTCACTTGCTTGTGTGATGTTAAGTCTTTCGGAAGCACAAATCGTAGATTACATTTTTACTGGTCGACAATTTGCTTCCATCGTACTTTCAGTTATATGTGGTCAGTAGTGCCAAAAGTTAAAGCTTATCATGTCTCAATTTGGTCTGATTATTATTATTTCTTGTATTCATGATGTTTTAAGCCAAGTCTGTGAAAATCAGCAACATCCAGATACGTAGTGTATTGTGCTAGACTTCAATCATTTCTAAGTAGCGTTTCTTGATTAGGTATACATCACTGAGGCTAGACACTCGTTTAAATCACCAGCCTGTTCATACAGTGACTAAGATTGTCAAACGATAGCTGTTGGATACTACTAGTACTATGAGAAAGTAGATACATTACACTGTAGTTTTATTAGTTGTTCATAATAGCTTATGCTACTGACTACCAATTTACTGAGTTTGTAATGAAAATATTGTTGAAATTTGATTCCACGTTGATAGTAGATACAGATTACTTGGTTGGGGTCCGCGTGACTATCGTAACCAATGGTTGGAGACTATGTGACATGGCTCGGAATCGATCACAATGGCGTAGGTGTATACACTCTTTGTCTTTGAACTATGAAATTAAAATCGCGTCATATTTTTCTTCCTACGAACTAATTCTTCCTGTACTATGTCTTTATATGCAATCTTTCTTTTATATACTACTACCACCACCACTGATTTAACTGGTTCCATGAACTCGGTGTTCATCTTGTTGTGCTAATGAGGCGTGGCAACTTGAACCGACGCACATGTGTCTGGTCCTACGTTGTAGCTGACTGATCGTACGCATTGCAGACTTTGTTTTATTATTGATCAATACATATGCAATAGTCTCCGTGAGTGATGAATGACGTTTTTCTGATGCGGGTGTTCAATTTTCAGGTCCAAAATATTAGTAGAATCTCACCTTCCCATCGATGATCTTTAGAAAACTGTTATCTCGTTCTGTCGTTGCACTTAACCCTACATAAGCTGGAAGTACTGCTTGCGCGTTTGAACCAAGTAATCAATGCTACTGTTACGTGTAGCGTAATGTGCATATATGACAAATCCGTTGACTGCGTCTACTGAAGCGGGATCCACCCTGTAACTTCCACCTGATTTTGATTCTCAGTAGTATCTCGTTTTTACTCCTTGAGTATATCCCTTTTTGACCGTGTTGTTTAATGCCTTACCCACCACTACCGATGTACCTTCGTGTCAAACCCTACGCCCATTACAGTCGACTGATTTTATGGTGCATATTACGAGTATAGACCGTCACTTATCGTTGCGACACAAACAGGCTTTTAACACAAGCCATCTATTCTTAATTGTCTTGTTGATTACAACATTTTGTGATCTCCATCGTGTTATAATAGTTATTGGAGAATACACTAAGCTGTGATTACCTCCGGACTTTACCCTTGTTACATGATGATCCTGAGTTTAAACATCGGGAGTTTCGTATATTCAAAGCATTTGCTTCGTTTCCGAATCACTAAAAACCAGTGTTACCATGTAAACTATCAATCACCTACTTAACTATATTTGTATGTAAACCGTATGACTGTTATCTATAAAAACAACTTTCTTATTTTCAGAGTCATTCAGGCTGTTTCAAACTCGAATCGAACTAAAGGTTTAGGTGTCTCACATAATAAGACTTCAACTGAGACAAATCCCCTGAAACCAAAGTAAGTTCTATCCAAAACTGTTATTCGGTTGAGAATACAGTCAACAGTTGTACAGATTAATAGTAATAACTTTGTAACAAGTGTATAGTTATTTCAAACAGCATCATAAAGTGCTCCGTCGTTTCTTTTGGTGAACGTCGTATCATAACCTATACCAGTAGCACTGCATATAACTCCAAACTGATTTCAACTTAATAGATGAGCAAAACTATGTTTACAATGAAACACTGCGTATCCACTTCTGTTTATTTCATATACACGTACCTTACGTCCTGCACTACTTGAATTTTCATACGCCTAAATAGCATCTGCATTTTTGTGTTGCAACCAGTGGATTATGATATACATATATGAGCATAATAATTAATGGAGAGAAATATGATTCAACTCAAGGGAAATTATCAGAGCTATTTTGTCGTGAAACGTTAAAAGCCGTCAGTCAGCAGTTGTAGTAAAAAAGGCATTATCTTCTGCCTTTTATGCTACACAGAAAATACAAAGCAGGTAATTAACACCAAGGCTAAGCTACTCCCAAAGGGTGACAGTGATTTCCTCCCACCAGTTATTTCTTCTTTAGAACTAAGAGTGAGCAATATAGTCCGTTCAGGCTTCCAGCAGTTAGTTTTTCCTGATAAACTCAGTACGTCCTCGTGCACTTTAATTAGGCTAGTGACTAAGTTTCTCACTAATATGTGTGTCAGCTGCAAAATTAGTAGTATTTGTTCTAATTTTGCTGGTATATTAGCTATAACAGTAACTGTTGTAAGCCGTATCTTTTCTGCTAACATTTCCACACCACGAAAAGCATTCAGACAAAACACATTATATTTCTCTTATGTTGAACCAAATTAATCTGCTTATTATATGCATCAATTTACAAATCATTTTAATATAGAACACCGTCTTTGGGACTCGGTCTAACTAACGCTCTGCAGAACTTGAAATCCACGATAAACAGCCTACCCAAGTTATCTACCTTAGTAAGTTCCGGATTTCTTCGTGATGTTTTGTTACGTTACATTAGTATTATTTATGTATGTTACCGGAAATTATATATTCTCACAAAGCACTAAGTAGGGCTTTAGAGTTACGAGTTTTTAGCGCTTTTTTGCAATAGTTCCACACAGTTACAAAACTTCTTTTGTCAAGTGGTGGCTCTGCTTTACTTAGTTTAGGCAGCTCGTTAGTATAACTAGACCTCACATATAGAATGTAGCTGAAAGCCAATTTCTCTAATCTGTACCTGGTAAATCGGTCAATAAGCCAGGCCTCACTCTCGATAAGGCTTAGGGGCTACTAAATGAATATGTGGTTAGATTGTACTATAGTGTAATAAAACTATCATAATCATGAAGTCCGTGAAAAAAAACTAGGCACGTGGTTATCTTTTTCTGTTTCTTATCTTAAAATACATGAGCTATAACCAACGAATGTAGAGACGTTTATTTTACTGAAATTATAGGAAAAGTCGCGTCTTGACTGGAAGCAATATGTACAGAAAGAATCTTTGGAAGATGACCTTAAAGCCCACAACAAAGGGAAAGAAGGGTAAGATTGCAATGATATGTACTCATATATACGATTTACAAATAGTCAGTAAGGTGATAATTTTGTTGTGTAACAAGAGTTTTGAGTTTTTCCTTACTGTATTGAAGAAAAGAGTAGTCTCAGTACCCTTGGCGACCAAATGAAGAAATACAGCCCATGCCTATTACACTAGTACTGATTGCTTGGTTTTAGGTTATACACATTTACACCAATTGGTCGAGTAAGTCTGGATGATGGTCAGTTGCCTCCTAAAGAAAAGCAGTTTTCAAAATGAACATGTCTTAAGCCAATCTCATAGACGCGAGACATAGACAAGTGTCATGGAACATAGGTAGAAACTCGTCAGAGACCAAGTACTTTATCAGTAATGTGCTGCCTTCGGGTAAGAGTGCAAGTTTATCAACGCATAAATGCTATTCCATTGCAGTAGTGAGAGGATCGCTTTGCATTTGCAGATACTAGTCACCAACTAAACTGACTCGACAACATTAATTCACGTTTAAGTCCAAAGGTTGACACATCGACGCTACCTGCTTAGTTTTGAAGTTTCCACTCCAGAAACAAAAGCACCCATCGTCAACAAGTAGTATATAATGTCGCCGCTAATCATAATTAACTTAATACACTCCAATCATAAATAACAATTTTGATTTCATAGTGTCTCGATAATTTCGTCGTTTTACTCCGGTGCGCCACTAGTTAACATATCTGGTTGTTAATGAGGTCTGTAATTGTAGATATTTTTTGTAAGCTAAGTTAACTTACTAGGTTTTTTATTTTAAAATAGGTATCTGGAAAGGCAAGCATTTTTCAATAGAGCAAATGAACGTGAATATCAGTATGAACGACAATTGAGAAAGTCAGCATCGAGTCGGAAAATCTGAATACAACAATGCACACAATCCTCTTATCCACCGAATGTTGCAATTATTTATCAAGAATGGCACCCCAATGTTTGTGCCCATGCAGTCCCAAATTTCAGTGTATTTATGTGAAGCAAATAATTGTGGTTAATTATGCTGGCAATAAAAAATCCCAATAATAATAAGTCATTCTTTTTGTTTACTACGACTTTATTACTTTCTATTCGGACATATGGATCTACCCAAGCTTTTCAAAAGTATAGTGATTTTCTTTGTCCACTGCATGTGGATATTGCTTCGCTTTCTGTAAAAAGAAGAGAAAAAATGAGCAACCGTTTTTGGACAACCGGCTATAGTTTACCTAAATGTTCATTTACTGAACAATGTTGAGGTATGTACTATGCTTTAGATAAGCGATTTTGTCCAGTCAGCTAGTTGCTGAACGACTTTCGTACGGTGTGATTTCGAAACGACCTACTTTATTCAAAGTTATACCTTATATGTATAACCCACCATATATGTGACGTTTTCGGGGTCACTTATACATGCACATGATGGTCGTTACGATGTACAAATCTGTTGATATAGCTGCCAATTGGTATGTTTTTCTAGCCTAACTTTGACGCAACGAATTTAGTGGTTTTGTCACATGGAAAAGTGCTTCGAAAAAATATGCAGTCGAATGTCGATGACCTTTGTCCACTTATAATGATTAGATCTCATGACAGAAGTGAACTGTTGGGTTCGCGAACTGTTTGCCTTTCTACACCATGTAGACATCAAACAACTAGAAACATTACGCTTCTCAAACTGACCGCTCAGTATATAGTATTGGAGCGGCCCAAATCTGCTAGTTAAACTCAAAACTACAGCTCCATGGTCCTACTACTTTACCGCGTTATAAGTCGGTAGGCAAATTCATGATGGTTGGTATTCAAAGTGTAGCTATAGGTTCGCCTGGAAGTTGCTGAAGATTTCCTGTCATCTACTACTTAAGAAATTAAAGTTTGAAGCTGTTATGGAATTTTAAGTTCCTAGTCTTACTTTTCGGATGATCCTGTAAATATTATAACTAACTCGATTATAAAACGAAAAGTGATGTTCAAATTTATAGTACTTACCATCGGAAGAAAGAAGCAATACATTTGACCGAGATATAAGAACATCCAAAGGCCAAAGAACGGTGCAAACGTCTTGAACAGTATATACCACCTTAGTTACAAATGACATCTATGAACCACAGCTTACATTGGTCGTCCTTTTAAAATTTCATTTAGTTTTGTAGGATTATATCCGGAAGCAAGATATATTTGCGCGTTGAACTGTTGCGGGTCATTAAAATCTCGTCTTTCACGTGGGAAGTCATAGGGCTCCCATGGGCTGCGATTATTCGCGTTATACGGTTCTACGTAGAAGTAGTCTCCTGGTGCCAAACCATCGTTCTCAAATGGTTTATAATCAGAAGGTAAGAGATTGTAACGTTTGGCAGCCGCTTCTCGTTCGGCCTTTGTGCAGGGATACGGTTTCGGTTTCCACTCAATGTGATAATCTGCATAAATTATCAATTTACAAATGACAATAACAATGAATGGATATATTGTGTGAAGAAGTGGACGGCTAAATACTAAATAGTGCTAAATTGTTCTAAAGAATATTTACCCTCGCTGCAAACTAACCGCGTGGGAAGTACATTACACAACCGACTGATAAAATGGCTTCTAATCAGTGATGGGTTTGGTTGGAGATGTTTGAATTTGCTACCTTTGTGAATCGATAACACCTTTTAGTCGTTTTTAGGGAGATACATGTAGGCGAGGTGATTACCAGAGGATAGAATTTCATATATGGAAAGAATAGTGTCGCAGCAAGTGAGAGCAACCAATTACTCAAAAATGACTCACATTTCATAGGGAATGTCGTTTCGCGACTGTAATAGAGTATAAGTGGAATTATATTTTATGTTACACAGTTACGATGGCTTTTCGGAGTATCTAATTATGCATCATGTTACGTGTAGAACACGTGAAATGGTCAGACTAGCTAGAAATATCAGAAGTGGTTTAGGAACAATCGGTTGAGATATACGTCTCCAGAATCAATAAAATATGGATCCCTTGGTATTTGGTTTTGATGAGGAATTATCACACTAACATTACCATACAGCCAGTATTATGAGTGGCAAAATAGTTCACACAACTTGCTAGGACAAATCGAGAGACTGTCTCATCGGAAAAGTGGCATCGTTAAAACCAATTATGACTGTATAAATAGATAGTGACTCCAATAACCAATGGGAAGCAACACTATGTAATCGTCTCGTCAGAGCCTGACGCAATATCTACATTGGTCAAAGCGTTTTGGGAGTCCCCAAAGGTCCGTATGTATTCCAGAATCGTATCACCCAGAGGACAGATATCTATGAGTAGTACACTTAACAGCGACAATATAACCAAGATCGAAGACTCTGATCAGATTTAGATTCAGGGAACTATTGAATAAACCAACTGATCATCCAATATGACACACTCAGACCACTAGAAAATCTCTCCATACCATGATATTTGCATGGAAATGACAATACAATTGTTTTTAGAACTAGCGAGATGAGAGCGTTTTTTAAGACTATGTATAACTGGAACGCACGTGCTTACGCTTTAACACACTTTTGCATATCGAACTACTAAAAACAACACTGTATTGAAAAGACAAATATTTTATAATCCGTTGTAGGTTGCCAGATATCTCAACTAGGCTATTCATTCGTCTAGCATTCATAGCCAACCCAATCTCCCTAATTCTTAGGAAGATGTCCGTTCTGGGTAAATTTAGAGGAAGCCGCTATAAGAAAATTTTGGAGGAATGGCAAAAAACCCTAAAATATCCGCAGATCTGAGGAAAATACCCAATATGCTTGAGGAAATTTAGAGCCTTCCGACATATTTCCACAGAATCTTATAACACTTTGGGATTTTCCACCAAACATCAAGGAAAACTACCAAGTGCCATACGACTTTAGGGAAAACCCTAAATGGGAAGATTTGGCAAATCAAGACCACAGTTCCCACTTCGAAATTTCTTCTTAGACTACAAGAGTGCAGTATGTATTTGAGAATTAAACAAGGCCGATATGTATGTACTGCTGTATTGACTGGAGCGACAACATTTGGAAGGTGTTTACTACACAGCAACCCATCTCAATAATGCTAGTAGATGTAAAGTTAAATTACTGATGTTAAATAGTTTTATTTAGAGATATATCGTAGTAACGTTCATAAGTAAACCTACATGCCATACCCCGACACAGAGGAGTCAGGATTGAACTGCATGTCTTAACGACAAGAAGTCTCATAAGTGTAGCGAACTTTTAGAAAAGCCAAGTCGGTTACATTGTCCAATCACGTATCATTAGTATTAGTGTTTACAAACCGATAAATTTCTTTCTGCTCGCCTCTTATTGTTTCAGCACAGTTTCAGTTCTTTGGTAAATTTCCAATAGGTGGTGGGCTAGTCACTCGACTGAACTAATTCTAGCCCACTTGTCAGTTATTTGTTGGTGTGTATATCTTGCAATGTGGTTGAGGACGTTTTTCTGAGTACAGTAAAGTTTCCGTATACCATGAGCTATCGCTTTATTAGTTAAGAGGTGATTCGATTGTAATGTGAAAAACAATAATGTGAAAATTCAATTGTCTCAAGAAATAAATAAAGAAGCTGATTAATTGGTAATTCAGACATCCTGAAAGAATTAAAGCCTAAGATACGAACAAAACATAAATGATAGTGGAGGGGCCACAAATATTCAGTATTTGACAACGCCCTAACCAGTAACACATTTTATAATCGCAATATGCCAACCCACACAAAGCGGAAGTCAGAAAGGAAGGGGTTTTGAGATATATTTGAAGAGCTATCCGTACGTCGAGAAATGTTTGGTTTAAGCTGTTTAATGGTTGCGAAGGATGTGTAGCACGGCGTACGTACCCTTGATGGATGCGTGAAAGATCGCCTTTAGCTGGGTTGGGCCCAGTAAAATTATTGATGTCTATGTCAATTTCGAGCACTTACAGGACTATATGTCCTGAAAATTTACACACTTCTTAAATGATAAACAAGGTCGGAAGTAATTAATTATATATTATATTACCAATCCATAGGTTCAGAGGAATATATCAGCTTCAGCTAGTTCAATAGAGAGTTTCTCGTCCATTAGGGAATACTTGTTTTTCACGTCTCCTCTTGAAGATATCCACTATGTGGGACTTATTCACTTCGGCCGGTAGGGCTTCTCAAATGTGGTGAACGACTAATGGGAAACAGTAAGAGTTTACATAGGTTTTTGCTCCATGATTATCGAGTTTGCAGTGGTTGACTAGTTAGACGTGGTCGTGATGTTCTCGTGGGATGCTTGTGACGGATTTAAAATGGTGTGCTTTGAAAATTTCGTGCTGTTATTAGATTGCCAAACTTCCAACAGAAAAGTGAAAACTATTCGAAGTTTCGAAGTCTATCGTCACCCATTTCGGCTGAGAGATTATGTCACGTTTCAGTTGGGGAATTCAACAACGTTGTGGTTCTTGCAGCTCGCGAACACCCTGTGTATCTTCGAGTGAATCAGTTAATCTCCACTTAATTTAGAGGCCAGGTGTGCAGTAATCTTTTGAGCGCTCTTCAAGAGCCATGAGAGGCTAAACGTACGAGCATCTTTTAGTAACGTCAGATTTCCAGCTGTCCCATTTTAAAACGTCAAGTAGCTGTCTTTTATGGATCCAGCTCATGCTCCATAAAGTAAGTCGTTTCGTTCATGCGTTCCCTCGTTCGGTTGTCGAACAGTCCTTACATTGCCTAATTCGGTATTTAAGGTATTTTAACTGGCCTGTGCTAGGTTAGATCCTTCTTATCTCCTGCTATAGAGATTGAAGTAGGTCACATGTTTCCATTTCCTTAGTTGTCCGAATTTCGCCGAGTTCCAGAACATGTCACGTGTTAGTTTAATGATTGCTTTCGTGCAGTTGCACATGGTGTTCGCAAGCTTCATTCGAACTACAACTTACCAACTCAGACTTTTTATAGTCCACCACACTCACTGGCTCTTAAGTCCTTTTGCTAACTCTCCAGCGACATCTACGGCTTACGGTTTGAAGCGTCTAGTTTTGATGCTCTGAACCGTTTACCCAACGATATATTAAAGTCAACATGATTTCTTATGTCACATGTGGTGTATCTGAATACATCCTCAATAAAATATATTTATTTTTCACTACATTATGGTACATGATTCGTCATTTTAATTCCAACGCAACAGGAAAGTTTAGCTGTTGCTTCTTGGATTACCTGGAAGACTTCTGAGGCCTGCTTTGCCTGATCGAACATGTATTGAAGTCTTCCTTGTACAGTATAACTTCATCAAAACGAGTGATACAATTAAACTGATATGGCAGGAAGTCCAGACACTTTGCAACAACCCTCCCTCGACGGCAATATACCAGTCACCTGATATATGTAACGAGCGAACTGTGTATATTTGGTCTGAAATCAGAGAGTGGTCTAGCGATAAAATGTATATTTAATCAATCAAATCCCCATGTTATTCTCCATAGTGTGCAATATTTCTGAAATTCGCTAGCGTTCGGTGACCATATTGCAACACAAATTTTATGCAGTACCATTGTGAAAGCAGATCATAAGAAAAACTACTTTAACTATGCTATTCACCTACTATACAGTCATATGTAATTCTGGTACAAGATAACGCGTTAAAATGCAAAAGTTACTAAATATTGTTGAGTACCTGCAAACTAACATTGATATTCTCGATATAACAGTGTCAATCTATCCCTTGAAAGAAACCTATCAAAGAACAAACTTTTCTAACACATTCAGAGAGAAACTGTGATCAACCGCTCCACGCCATAACCCTGATTTCAGGCAAAAAAGACGATTTCTTCAGTAGTTCGGCACCATATTGCATTAAAGGGAATTTGATGGAGTAAAACCATTTCCGTAGATTCTGTACTAACGATACCAGCTTTACCCGATTAATGTAAATTGGGGATTACGCAACAAACCCCGTATCATGCGAACTCGATTGCCTTAGTACAGGAGTTATGGAAATCATATTTCGGCATTCGTTATTGATCGCGTTAAGCTTATCTGTTACGGCAAAGGCCACAATATTATGGGTTTCAAGATGATTACAAGCGTCAGTTCAAATAAGGAGCAAGGGGTAAGTGTATAATTGGCAATCTCACCTTACTCTGGAGATAATGTGATTAACCGTGGACATCCGGTGCCTTGAAAGTGTCTAGTATCCAGTGTTTCTGGTATAAAATAATCAAGATAGTGCTCTCTTTATGTGATGAACAAGGAAATTCTACAGATAGCGTGAACCATCTTATATACTTTGGAGATGCAGAAGAATATAGCTGGGCATTTCCTCAAGGTAAACCCTGGAAAATTACTCTTCTTCCGTCCCCGTATTGAGCATAAGAGAACCGCCTTCATTATATTCAAATTTCGAGACTCAGGGACAATGTAAATAAGTGAATCAAAGACACAAAACATACTTATCACTGTTCATCTGTAACTCTGCTTCGAGGACAAAAGAAGTGAAACTATTACGTGGGCTATTGTTCGCAGAGTATGCAGTAGCCAAGTTAGTAACGTTATAGTTTTAAAATTCGACAAAAATAACACCCAAGTGTAAGACATATATACTAACTGAATTATTTTTGCGAATCACTCATAGATATTTGAAACATTTCAAGTAACTACCAGATAACAATATTAAAACCTCTGATGCCACTTTATGAGACTATCTCGGATGAAACTTTAGCAAAATTATATATTTTAATCGTCTGTCCGGTCTTAAGCAGGTTTGAATGCATTAACATTCAGTATTCCTATATCTGTATCTGGGTTGGTGAACCCTAATTCCTATTTGTAGTCTTCCAGTTACTATGGGTTCCTCAATGTACTATGTAGTATATCTTTCCACATCGGATTTAGTAGACCGAACAAAGCAGGAGGTAGTTACATGAAGAATTATAAAACTTCGCAGATTAACAGATTTAGAATGTATAGCTTGTAGAGTTTTGAATATTAATAAAACTAAGGCATTTGACTGTTTTATGGAGAATGATGGACACATCCTCTGGAGAAAGGTGAATTACAAGCAAACTGTCCTCATTATGTACACTTATGATTGCATAGCTTCCTTTTTATTGAAACAAGTAATGTCAATTTTAATGTTATAGTGATCAATGGTTCATTTTTCTCTATTTTTAAATGTGTTAAATTTATATATCCGGGTGGGTATTTTTGACAAGTTCATAGATTTACCATTATTTGTTTCTGAAAAGTCTTTGAACCGATGTTTTCGTGTTATATGTTGAAAAAGTGACCAACTACTACGTTGTTAATCTGTTTTTGATTTATTAGTGATACATCAACAGCTAATATTGATGTTACACAAGACGGCTCCTACAGATTCAAATACAATAAGTATCAATATTTATTAAAGTTGAATTTTAAAGCGCAAGCTTTCTTTCATGATGTGATTTTCCACCGCATAATGTTTTTCCAGACAAGAGATATAGAGACAAACCGTATACAGAAATATCATATAAAGATTATTTAAGTATATTTTATTAAATAGATAAAATGACTGATAATAAGATAGTTCGTTCTGAAATTAAAATCATCGCCTTCCATATATATGATAAAGCATAACGTAAACACATCATTTAATTCTCTGACCAACCAACAGTCCAAGTAAAAATACACCAATAACTGTTAGACCAAACGATATTTTTTGTGATGAATTCAATGGACACTGATTTTCCTTTTGAAATAAACATAAATTGGAAACATACAATTATAGATACAAATAAAAGAAACAAAAGGAATAATAATAGTGCTATCAACAGTTTACCAGCTATAGTCCCTTATCTCATGATCATCGTTACAACAATTGAATAGTTATGGATAAGTTTGTGCTTATATTACTCGAATAAAATGGTAAGGTTGTAAAAAGTGATATTTCAAGTAAATGTTTATTATGATAACTGGATATGAAGTTGAATTGGAGAAGATAACGCGTATCATACAAAGTTATAAAAAAATTTTTTATTAATGTACCTGCACTGAAAATACATTTGAGGAAGATGCTGTCGACTAAAACACTAATATATATACATACGTTAGACAGCATGTGAACTTTGCAATTATTTTTTGAAGACTGTTTACTCAATTTCCGATTGTAGGAGAAAACTCGATAGTCTGATTTGGCAACAGAGATTGAAAACAACTACTGAAAATAAATGATAAGCAACCAAATTTTTCTGTACCAAAAGAAGTGACCCCATTACTTTATACAAGTTTCAAAACATATAAATCACTACTTCATTTCCCATGGTAGTTACCAATTCATATGTGAGTGCCAACACATAAAAACAAAGAACAATTGAAATGTAAATTTGATGATAATAAGAAATGATTTTAAAATCATTTGACAGCACAATTCCAAATCAGTAATGGGATAGGTGAATTGTGCAAATTCACATCAAAGTAAAGTGTTGAGGTGGCTATTTGAAACAAACGTAGATTAGATTTTTT